AACTTGCCCATTGCTTTTTATATGTAGCTCACTCCTTGAGCAGATATCGGGTAAGTCCAACCTTGATTTTACGTTGTCTTTCGTCTTCCCTGGGACATTCAATATAGTGTTCATGATGTTCTCAAAAAAGTTCTTCTCTATATGCATCACATCGAGGTTGTGGCGCAAAAGAAGATCTTTCCAATATGGAAATTCCCAATATATACTCTTTTTGTGCCAATTGTGCTGAACACCATAAGAATCAGACATATTACTGGGAACATGCCAATTCCCACCACGAGGAGCTGTGTCTAGAGCATAGTAGTAATCGATTTGTGCTTCGATTTGTTCTCCAGTTAAATAAGGAGGAGGAGTGTCTCTGACAACCTTTCTATGCCTGAACAATTTCTTGTTTCTTCGGTATGGGTGGTGAATGGGAAGAAATCGACGGCGACAATCGAACCAACTAGTCTTCCTACCATGCTTCAACTGAAACGCATCTGTCATTCCATTACAATATGGACAAGCTAATCTCCCATGTGTAGTCAACCCAGACAACATACCATATGCAGGAAAGTCACTTATGGTCCACAAAAGCATCGCTCGTATCGTAAAGTTTTTCTTCGTTGAACAATCATATGTCCTCACCCCTGTTGACCACAAATCTTTCAACTCTTTTATCAGTGGTTGTAGAAAAACGTCGAGAGATCTTTTTGGATGTTTTGGACCAGGTATTAATATGCTCATGAATAGAAACTCTCGTCGCATGCACATCTCCGGTGGCAAGTTATACGGTGTAAGAAAGACCGGCCACAATGAATATTGTCCCCCAGACATTCCAAATGGACTAAATCCATCATTGCATAATCCAAGATACACATTCCGGCTATTGCTAGCGAAATGTGGATGTACATTGTTAAAATGTTTCCAGGCTCTTGCATCTGATGGATGAGTCATCTCTCCATCCGTCTGAGTATGCTCGGCGTGCCATCTCATCCCTCCAGCAGTCTCCTCAGATTGGTACAATCTTTTCAATTTGTCTGTGATTGATAGGTACCACATCCTTTGGTACGGTACCCTATTACGCCCTCGACCTTGCGGTTTGAATCGTAGCTTATTACAAAATCGACATTCTTCTAACTTCTCATCATCTCCCCAGTAAATCATGCAGTTGTCGATGCAAACGTCTATCATCTCCGAGGGCAACCCAGACTATATACCAATTTCTGAATCTGATAATAAGATTCAGCAGACACATTGTCTTCTGGCAAATACTCTTTAAACAAGTATGCCCATGCATCCATACAATTTTCAGGTAGATTGTGATCGGTTTTAATACGCATCATTCTAGCAGCCAACGACAATTTAAACAGACCTTCTCTACAACCACTGTAAATTGGCTCATTCGCAGCATCTAACATTTCATAAAACTTTTTTGCATCTAAGTTAGGTTCTTCAAATTCATCATCATCATGAGTTACAAAGGCATCACCTACCATATCATGAACCCTATCACAATCTACCATTTGTTCCTCTTGGTGATGATAGCTATTATTACTGCTACCTTCATTACGCAAATGCTCAACCGGTTCAATCTGAAAATTGCTATTACTACTGCTACCTTCATTCCTACAACTAGCATCTTCTCCATGTTGATACCAAATATAATAATATGGCATGAAACCTCTATATATTAGATGCTTCCAAACTTTTCACGAGGGCCTAATTTGGTATTGCAACATTTCCGACAAGGACATAAAATCTTACCACTTTCCTGCGTGAGTGGTGTAGAATTTGCTTGATGCATAAACGTCTCCAACCCTTCGAGAAATTCTTTCGTCACCCTCCCGTTATTATCTGTGTGAATACATCCACTTCCGCAACTCGAAAATATTTCCCGGACCGGACATTTTTGTTTGTGTTTGATCAAGCTTATAGCTGATTTTTTTGGTGTTTTTCAAATGAATCACATATGGTGGTATTTATAGAAATTTTCGAATCTGAGAATTTATTAGGAAATTGCTAGGAAAAGTAGGTACAAAACACGTTTTTGATTTAAATTCGATATTTTCTATCCATTTCCTCTTAATTTCGTAGTAACAAATCCATTCCTCCTAATTTCGTAGTAAATTTTTACTAGGACTTTACGAGGAAAGGAGATACTATGAGTTTACGAGGAAAATGAATTTTTCCTCGTAAACTCGAAGTTAACTCGTAGTAATTTCACGAGGAACTATTTTCCTAGTAAAGTTTCCTAGTAAAAGCTTAGTTTTCTTGTAGTGAAAGCAGCTGTGGTTTAGTCATTGTTAGAATCATTGTGTTAGAGAGGGACACCTGCCGGACTTGGAACTCTCGAGTTAGCAATATCACGGATAATTGGTATACTAAAAGAAATATAGAAGAGAAGATGATTTCGAGAGGAGGAATACTGACCTATTTATACTCAAAAATACACCGACTCACTGATGTACACGACGCATTCAAGATCTCATCGTGGTTGATTGAGTAAATAAGATTAAAGACGAATAAGACATGACTCAGACCATTTCAGAGATAGTGATGAAGATGAAGTCGTCATAGCACAAAGAAGATCAGAAGTCGTCAGAACCCTAAAATTTGATATCTCTGCGTCAACATGAATAGGGAACACTCCATTGGTATATCGGGCTGCCTTCACATCAAAACTGATTTCCTAGCCCAATAACATTTTGAAATGTATGTAATAACAAAATAAGCCCAAAATCACCAGTTTATCTGAATTAATAAAATGTTGCGTATTGAAGAAAGGGACAGGTGTCAAAATAGGAGGCTTTTATTTGATGAGGCGGCAGCTTCAAAAAAGGAGAACTCTTATATGTATAGATATTATATAAAATACTTTTAAATATAGTATTACCTTATTTAATTTAGTCAAATTCAAAATTTTGAGAGTTCAATTTTCAAGAAAACAAAATATCATAAAATTAATGATAATGCATAGAAAACCAATACAAGAAAATTAATATTTAGTATGTTATTTCATTTTAAAATAAATTAACAAAAAAAACAACATGTTAATATATGTGTCCTTAAAACTGAACTGTAACTGAACTGAACCCAAAAAATTTTGTCCTGATATTGTGTCCTTCACTAGGACTCTAGGAGGCACTGAAGAAGATGAGAGCTTGACTGTCGACCAGGGTGATCAGGTGAAGCTTCTTCGAATCTGTTATACAAAACAATTTGATTATTGAAATTGGGGTTTAGTTTCTGATACATTCCTTCCAGGTTGAGAAATCTAATGTTGGAAACGTCTGTAGAACAGAGGCCAATTTACTCTACTAGACAAGAAGCAGAAGAAAGGAGAAAAACGAAGAAAGGAAGTGAAACAGATGTAAAGAAGCCTAAACGAGAAAGATTGGAGGCTTTCAGCAAAAGACTACGGCCTTGCATCATAAAGCGAGTAAACCATGGAAGACATCGTTCTTCATAACCTTAACAAAAAAAGTTAAAAAAAATACTCTGTATTTGTTTTATATCTTCCCTGCATCTTGTCATGTACACATGCTAATCACATCCGTATTACTGTATCGATTGTCAATGTAAATGGACTACATTCCCTAATCATATCCTTAGATACGCAAACACACATCTTTTAGATAAATTAATAATTCGTTCCGAGATTCATCAGAACACAAGTCACCAAATTGAAGATCAAATGGATTTACAACTATAGTAAAAAAAAAGATATCATAGAAGTTTTTGCTTACATCATTGTGTTGGTTATTTTTACATGATGATATAGACATCATTAACATATTTAACTGCAGCAATCTCCTTGCGGTGTGGATCCATCTCTACCACCTGATGGCCCCGGGATTCCTCCATATCCAACTTTTATACCATACGAATCATTTGACACATCAAACACACCATCTTCAATCTTCTTGTATATTGTTGCCGCTGTCTTAATGAATGCCTATCAAAATTTCAAAAGTACAACCCACATCAAAAATCATGATTATATTTCTACTGGTTTTTAAAGCGCAAAACAAGGGAGAGTTTTGTGGAATGGGATATACTTTCTCGCGCAGCCTAAACCCAATTCAGGTATATTCTATGTTAAATTATGTAACCAACTTAATCCTTCTAATGTATGAGCTACAGGGAACACGAAGGGTTACAGGACACTAGAGAAAGCATGTGGGTTACAATTTCAAAACGCTAGACATCTACGTTTAAGCCTTAAAATAGTCACATTAGAAAACATGGGTGTTTTTGTTTACCTCCTCGACGTTCTGAGCAGTCTTGGCAGAGGCCTCCATGAAAATAAGACCATGCTCCTTTGCAAACTGCTCTCCTTCCTCTGTGGTGACTGCCCTTCTGCTGGCAAGATCACACTTATTCCCAATGAGCATAATCGTCATATTTGCGTTAGCATGCTGCCTCGCATCCTCTAGCCAACTAGCTAGATGATTGAACGTCTCCCTTCTGCAAAATAAAGAAAATTATCGTCAAACGGTTACACACTACACAAATACAAATCTAGTTTCGTATCTTTTGCTGCCAAAGAAGAACGTTTTCGACAAATACAACATAAGTCATGATGTCAACAAAAAGAAGAAGCCATTGCTTGACCTAGTGATATCGTAGACAAGTAATGCCCCTGCAGCACCTCTATAATAGGACCTTGTAATAGACCTAAAGTTTTCTTGACCAGCCTGCCATGCCATATCAGAAAAAGGTTTCAATTTATTTGAGTCTAGACAATGAGAGTAAGATGGGCATAAATCAATCAAAGGAGAAAGAGAGACCGTATCCCAAATCTGGAGTTTGAGGGGCTTGTTGTCGATGGTGATCATCCTAGCCCCAAACTCAACACCAATGGTGAGATCATGCACAGGCTGAAACCTCTTGTCTGTGAACTGAAGCAGAAGGCATGATTTCCCTACTCCTGATTTATCATATAATCAATCACCTCAATTCCTAATGTAACTAGATAAATTCAGGTCAGTCACGTTTTTTATTTATTTTAGCAACGAAACAATATGAATGAATAGGTCAACAATGATCTGATTCATCTCAATTCAATAATTGAAGAGGGAGGAGTTACCAGTATCGCCAATGATGATATACTTGAAGAGATAAGCGTAAGACATTCAAGCTGAAGATATTGAATTCCTCAGTTACAGGCGAATTGAAAACCCCTAAGATCTCGATGAATTGTAAAGAATCTCTTTCTTCTCTAAACAGACGGGAAATGGTTTAATTTCCAGCACATCCAACGAAGCATCAACCTGTATTATTTATAACCTTTCCAAATTTGTTAATAGAGCTGCGTGACGTTATTTAAATGAAAGACATCATGCAGTCTCTGAAAGACATCATGCAGTCTCTTCATAGAAAGAAAAAAAATTTCATTTAAATCACTAATTTTTAAATTTAGTTAAAAAAACATAATTTTTTTCTTGGCCATTTAAAGTCTCGGCCGTTTTAACCTTAAACATAGTTTGATTAAGTCATTTCTAAGTTTAACAGACAGATTGAGTTAACGAGGTTCAATTCCGTCTCTAATCTCTATTAAATTCATACGACATCATTTAGAGTCGTTTCTAAAATTGTTTATTAAGGGAATTGAACCCGTGACCAGTAAATGCGTCTCACAACTATTTGCTAAGCTTTATATATGAATTATCTTTTGGAATTCGAAGTCACATTTTTTAATTCGAAAATCAAGATAAAATAATGATAATTCATTACAGGTGTTATATTTTCCCAACTGTTTATTCTCTTCCCCTAATAATGGAAAAACAGACTCATTAAAATGACAGTCTCTGAATCGGTCAATCGGACCTTGAATAAACCCTCTGTGGATGGCTCTAAATACTTGATAATTGATGAAGAATCATATCTAATATATATTCCCAACCTTCTCTGAGGTCCCATTTTAGATCGTTGTGGTGGAGCAATTAGAACATATATTGCACATCAAAATATCTTAAGATGGAAAATATTTGGCTCTTGACCCATAATCAATTGTGATGGGGAGTTTTGATGATTACTCGTTGGCCTTATGCGGATCAATGCTACTGCATATAACATACCATGCCCCCATGCAGAGACTGGGAGTTTTAATTTCATAAGCAATGGTCTAGCAATCAACTAAAGACGTTTAATTAACGATTCGGCTAAACTATTTTGTGTGTGAACAAGTGCTACAAGATGTTCAACACTTATTCCAATAGACATGCAGTAATCATTAAAAATCTGAGACACAAATTCAGCAACATTGTCTATGCGAATAGCATTTAGCGGAAAGTATGAAAAATGTGCTCGTAATTTGATCAATTGAGCAAGTAGTCTCACAAACGCTAGGTTTCGAGTTGATAGCAAGGAAACATGTGACCATCTTGTTGATGCGTCAATAAGGACCATAAAATATGAAATGTTCGACATGGTGGGTGAATCGGTCTACAAATGTCTCCTTGAATACGTTCCAGAAAACTGATTGATTCATAAATTATTTTGGCTGGTGAAAGCCTTGTGATCAATTTGCTTTGTGAGCAAGCAGCACATGAATAATCTGTAGGAAGCATCTTATGGTTCTTCAGTGGGTGCCAACATGAATTTTTTATTATCTTTCGCATCATTGTTGAAGGGAAACGAACATGTGACCAAAACTTCTCTTGATACAATGCTAAACCACTAGACCACTTACAATTCTCTTGACATATATAAGAGCATTATTAGGGGGTGATTTCTTAGAAATAGTTTCTCAAGATCATTATACTAATTTTTTAAAATAATTTATGTGGATAATTAAAATTACTAAAAACAAATGGAATCTGTTAAATATGAGAAGGACACGTTAGTTTATACTCTCTTGACTGTTGGTGAAAGTACCTTCACAGACAGACGTTTCTCTCACACTTATTACCCTCTCTCCTACTCTTTTATATTTAGTTAGTTTTATGGTGAGATTTTTTGCAAGAAGTGCACCACTGCGGATGTTCTAAATACTAATGATAATTATTATTAAACCTCCAAATCATCTCTCACAACCTAAATCTCTAATTCGTTTCTGTTCTGTTAGGTTTTAAGAAACAGGAAAATGATGAATCCGGCGGTGAACTTTTACCTCGTCGAGAATGCTTAACAGAGGAAGATCAAGCAGCAATATGATCACCTTGTCAAGTGCAATAATGATAAAGGATTGATCTTAGTTCATGTCAACTTCTAAATGTTATAAATTTGTAGGAATTGGAAACTAAAAATCATGACTTTGAACCTAATCATCTTCTCCCAACCTAAATCCCTAATTCGATTATGGTAGTTTTAAGAAGAAACAATATGGGGTTTATTAGATTCAGAAACGAATTAGAGATTTAAATTGGGAGAAGATGAGTATAATAATAATACTATTAGTACTTACACATGTCAATAGAATATTAAGTGGTCCAGTGGTTTAGCTAAGTATCGAAGGAAGCTAAGGGTCATGAGTTCGATTTCCTGATGAACAATTTCTAAAAAAATTAAAACAACGTCGTATGAGTTTAACAGAAGTTAGAGACGAATATTAAATTTAAAAATTGGTGATTTAAATGACATTTTCCCAAAAAAGAAATGATATGAGTCATGAGGGTTGACTAGAAGCTGTGAGTAGTCAAAAGGTCAAAAAAAACTATGTACTGAATAGCAGCTTCGCCGTCTAAACTTTTAAATGTAAATGCAAATAAAATAGTGAATTGTTTATGTTGTGTTTTGAGTAAAGAAGAGAAGACCAGAGAAGAGAGGAATTGATATATCTTATTCTATAAATAATGAACTCCTTATATAGGAATACAAGATGTGGGTTTAGCTTAAAGAAGAAGTACAAGTAAATCTTGGTAAACAAAACTTTCCATAATCGACATCCCAATAACTATAACACTTCCCCCTTGATGTTTATTATGTGCATAAGATGCTGCCTCATTAAAAACCTTACAAGAAAAATCATGACTAAGGGAAAAAGAGTGATTTCCCCTAATGTGTACATACGTAAGATTCTTGAGACGACGTAATCTGATAAAATAAACCAATTTCTTGAAAGTAGAAGTGGGTACGCCTTGGTGAATAAGTCAGCCAAATTGTCACTTGAACGAACTTCAATGACATGAACATCGTCATTCTTCTGCAGATCATGGGTGAAAAAGAACTTTGGTAGAATGTGCTTTGTCATATCTCCTTTGATGTATCTATCTTTGAGTTTTGCGATACATGCAGTATTGTCTTCATACATGATTGTTGCAGCTTCTTTCCTGTAGATAGACCACAATTATCTCGTATATGTTGAATGACAGATCTTAACCATACACACTCGCGACTAGCTTCATGAATGGCTAAAATCTCTGCATGGTTGGAATAAGTAGCTGCAATGGTTTGCTTCATCGAACGCCAAGAGATAGCAGTTCCACCACAAGTAAACACATATCATGTCTGTGATCTAGCATTGTGTGGATCAGACATGTACCCAACATCTGCATAACCAATCAAAATATTTTGTGGATGGGTTAGGAAATAATATACCCATGTATTTCGTACATTGGAGGTAACGAAGTATATGTTTTATCCCATTTCAATGCCTATGAGTTGAGCATGAACTAAACCTTGCCAATAGATTCACTGTAAATGATATATTTGGTCTTGTATGACTGGCAAGGTACATTAATGTCCCTATTGCTAAGTATGATATTTCAGAACTAAGAACTTCTTCATTCTTCTCTTTAGGACGAAAGGGATCTTTATTCAAATCAAGTGATCTTACAACCATAGGACTACTCAAAAGATGGGCTTGATCCATAAAAAAATATTTAGCTATTTTTCCAGTGTAAATTTCTTGATGCACTAAAAGCAAACAAGAAATTCAAAACCGGACCGACGGTGGCTAAGATAGCCCTTGCCATCGGCCAGTAGACACAAATCTGAAAGTTTTAAAAATTTAGAGAGAAGGTAGAGGAAAAGTTATGAGAGAGAGAGCTTTCCCGTTTAAATTTTTAGAAGTAAATGCAAATAAAATAGTGAATTGTTTATGTTGAACCTTTATGCAGTTATTGTTTAAGATCTCAGATTGTAGAAATGAATTTTTTCTCATTGGCACATAATGCAGTGATAAGTCGATTAATGTGGACTCAGAGAAATTGAATTGGTAATTGTGGATGCATATCTGGTCGGTGATGAGATATGAAAATGTATGAATGGTCTGGAGAATTTCGTATTAATATCAGGAATACATAAACTTGGTCGGTTACAAGAATTAAAAATGATCATCTATATATATATATATATATTTATAATAAGTATTTCTGGTTGTCGAAGACAATCTCGTCCAACTAGGAGAGGTCGTCCAAGACTTGTAGTCGAATTGATGATCTCCAAGTGTGGATGATCGTCAATGTATAGGTTTTCTTTATGTATGATTATGAATGTTTCATTTTGTCTAATTTATTTATGCGGATAACTATTAGACTTGGACACGGACCAGATATCCGAGTTTTTCATGGTATTTATAATTTGTTTCGTATGTTATGGATATCTAATTTTTTTATTTATTTTGCTTCGGAAAAATACTGATATCCGAAAAAACGGATATCCGAAATATCTCCTATATATTAATTGAGAAACAATTGAAAGATGTAACATTAAGTTTGTATTAATTAAAAAATAACTATATCCTAATTCTTTATGCATTCTAATTCAGTTTAGAATGATTCTAGAGCACCTTATTGAAACTATAGTCTAAAATTATACTCTCTAGCAATATAATATTTCGCAGACTATAGTTGGTTGCATATATCTAATATTTATTGTTCCACAGGTTTTCCTTTAATAAAACCTACGGGATCACTAATATGATTAAAATATATATGACAATAAATGATTTTAAACAATAAAAATTTGATAACAATCTGTATAATTTTTATCAGTTTGATTATTTCTTTATTATTAATAGAAATTACACAATTACATTAATCATTAATAAAAATCTAGATTTTTGTGTATGTTGTATTTCGAATTTTTCAAAACTATTATAAACTAGATCTTTTTCCGCGCTACGCGCGGATAATATATTTAAATTTGTTATATTTTTAATTTTTATTTGTATGTGAATTTTTATATATTA